GCTTTAAAGCATTTGGAAATGGAAACCTGTAATTTCTGGCATTTATATACTGTTTGCAACACTGTTTAATGATACTTATGTATATAATAATGTAATATATCCTATACAAAATACTGGAATTTATGTACATTCTTTAGAATAATGGCATATTTTTAAAAAATATTTTGTAGGGTTTTATGCTTCACTGGATTTTCTTTGAGCTTCTAACATGCTCCAAAAGGGTACAATAAATCATAGAATCATTTAGGTTGGAAAAGACCTTTAAGAATATTTGGTACATCTTATTTTAAACTCATAAGTGCTGGGACTCAATTTACAATTACGAATCAACACAAGCACTTCAAACTTAACAGATTTCCTGTGGAGATATTTTCCCAGTAACCTCATCAGAAGAGCTATGAGAGTACCAAGTATCTCACTATTCATCCAAGGAGAAATAGCATAAAAAGCAGGTTAAAAAGGAGAATCGCTCAAAGAAAAATTTCACTGGTTGAATTTTGAGAATACTGATAATGGCAGTTTCTGAAAGTACATACACAAATTGTCACTTCATACAACTCTATTTTTAATAAATATCAGTTGAAGTTGTATATATTAGATCTAGTTCCAATTTTAACCCAAATTACATTATTGGATCTGGAACTCTAATTTTTCACCACTTCTGCAGTTACTTTTTCTGCCAATATGTCTATGTTGGGTTTCCCTTAGTGACTAGACATTAGTAGAAGGAGAAGAAGGCTTTTGGCTTTGTTTTATGAGAAAGGAATACAACAAACCTCTGATTTCAATATATATGTACCCCAGGAGTATATCTACTTTCAGCAACAGCAAAACGGAGTCCACTATAGGGATTCTTTCTTGCCCAACAAGCCATGGGGATCTCAACTATAGGATTTAGGATCAAGATGCTTGAGCACTTGTATGATTAGTAGCTATGCAAAGTAAATTTCCTCAATGAAAAGGATTTACTGAAAACTGATAACTTGCCAGACATCTGAAAAATGAGATTTCATCTCCCTATATTACTTTGCTCTACAGTATCTTTAAACAGTAGAGATTTTATGATACTGTGTTATTCCAGGAAACAGAGCACTGTGAAGCACACAGTCTATAACTGTAATAAAAAGGCTCCTAGAATGTTTGTTTTAATATGGTTGCAGAAAGGAAAGTGTTTTACTTAGATATGAAAAATCCAGGTTAACAAATTTGGTGCCCACTATCCACAGCTCACTGGCTTGAGCCACTTGACTCACTGTTTCACTGTGTTCCCTGGCTCTCACATTGCTCATATGGAAGCAAGTGGAGCAACTCTCAGGCTTATCTGTCATAGGGCTGCTGAAAAAAAAAAGATCTGCACAGTGTTCTGCCCTGTCCCCTTTGCAGTAACTGGCAGACAGTTTGGAAAACTCAAGGGCACCTGGAAGAGCTTGTCCACATTCTAGCAAAACTGAAAGACAGGTGAGAAAGACATTTAAATATATTCCAGTTTCAAGACAGACCAAGGTTAGTTTAAGGCCTCCTGGACAGGAATTCAAAGGGGCCACAGCTAGTGGGTATTGAAAACTTCCACCTTAAAACTGAAATCCTTCCCAGTTTTTTGATATTCAAATACAAGTTACACAAAGAATTACAATTAATCAAACCCTTTTCCATAGCATGGATTGATTGTTACCCCAATGAAATGAAAGTACCAGTTTATTTGAAACAAACAAACAAAAAATTAATAATCCAGTTATCCCTTTCTGGAAAACAGTATAAGTCTCTCAAATTGACCTAAAATCCTCAGAAGACACTTGATCCAGCCTGCTGAAGAGTGTATGAGGATAGGGCACAGTAGCTACAATAACTTTCTAGCATCCTCTTTCCTGAAAACTTCAACAGGATAAGAAAAAACTATGTAGTCCAAGAAAAGCTTCTGCTCCACTGAACAACATTTAGTTGGACTTTGTACAATAATGTTTGCTGCTCTGTTGGTTACAATTGCATATTTAAGGAATAATAAGATTTGTGAAATCAGGAATTTAACAGAAATACGATTGTGATTTTCACATGGGGAATATTAACTACTTAAGACAGATTATTACAATGAAGATTTCAGAAACAACACTTTTAATTAAACCAATGGAGTTTAAATAAAACACAACCCCCCCCCCTCCCCCATAACAACAAAAACTGATCTAACCATGCATAGTTATTTTCTTGCCAAATATAATATAATACTGGCTTACCCTAGTCCTACATGACAGCAATACAGAATGCTAATGCTAGCCAGGTGGTCTCAAATTTGTTCTGGATTCTCCATTTCCCGCACACTAAAGTCAAACGGGGCAGTTTAAGAGGCTGTCATGCCCAAGCCAGGCTTTACTTTACCCAGCTATGGTGTTTCTGACAGAAGTGGTACTGGCTGCAGGTGTAAGGCACTGACATCAAGCAATTCTGCCAGAATAAAAGTGGAGTATTGTGGACCCATACTGTGGTAGTATATTTAAACAGAAGGATAATGACATTTCTGAGAAAGCCTGATGAATGTTACCCAAACCAGTAAATAACAATATTGCCTGCTCTGCAACTTCACAGTTATAGTTCTTTTCTTCTAAATATCATCTCAACAATTTTAGACTCGGCCCACAGTAACTCCCAGTTTCTGACTGTGTACTGCTTCACCATAAAGGCAGTATATTTTAAAAAATGCTCCAGCTGAACCCTAGGAAATTATCTTGCCTACCAGGATACCTTAATGAGAGCATTCTTATCAGTGTGGCTCCAGACTAATAAGAAGAAATCCAATCTAGAGCCCACTGAACACTAAATTAGATCTAATCATAGGGCACTCTTCCAACTGTTCAACAGCAGGTTTAAAACCAACAAATGTTGTTGTTTTTGTTTTGTTTTGTTTTTTTTTTAATCCATTAAAAATACTACAAGCAGTCCCATAATAGCTGCTTCAAAGCCATGGTCAGAAAAGTGTGCAGACATTTGTTTGCATTTAAAGCATGACCATTTAATACTCTCCTTGCAAGAGCTACTTTATATTCAAACACTTTCAAGAAGACCCTGAAAGGCTCTAGAGCCACAATACTCTGAGAATCCCATAACAGGGCAATCTACATACATCTCAGCTTGAGAATGTTTAAGCAGTTGAAGTACAATAGCTTTTAATGGTGCTCTGGCATGTAGGTCTTGCCCCCTTAACAAAGAATCATCCCTTGAGCTAATTCAGACAGGAAAATGACTGCATCTGGGCTTAAATATGTAAGTTTTGGCAGGGGGTGTGGGGACGTGAGTATGATAAAGCTCAGACTTTTCAAAGATAGTTTCTTTCTCAGACGTCAAAGTAACAAGTGAAGTTTTAGTTTTCCGTTTGCCTGCAGTGCCTTCTTTGTGCCAAACACAACCTGTGCTTGAGCATGGCTAACACAGCAGTTACAGTCCCCTGAGCACTTTCTGCTCATTGTCACACATGGCAAACTACCTCCTCTCTGCATACAGTGTTCTCTTCCAGCACAGCCTGGCCATCAAGACACTGAAGTATTAACCAACTTGTGAGATATGGTCAGGAGAGAGGAAAGGAGCTGCTGGAAAAGGTATGTGTAAAGTGTGAAGACAAAATCATTGGCTGTGTGCAGGAGGAGATGAACAGCTTCCACTGTCACAGCTCAAGGATTGTTATAACCAAATCATATGTGCTCTTGCTTGTCCTTCTCTAAAATAAAGTGGTCCATGTTTGCAATTAAGATCTAATGGGCTACACATCTGAACAGTCCTTCTCATAACGTACAGAACAATTTCTACTCTGAATCCATGCTTATTTTATACAGTACGTTGGCACACCATAGTCTGCAATCATAGAGTGACACATTCAACAATAATCACAAACTTTTGAATATTCGTATCTAGTTATATCAAGACAGTCACAAATACCTTAAAAACATGTATGAAAGCTGCTTTTACTGCTATATTTCATACAATATATTTTTTTGGGGTGAATGGTTGCATGTACTATAAACCAGAATGGATTAATTTACCATAAATCACCTTCACTTTCTGGGTGCATCATCTATGATGGTAAATCAAACATTTGCAATAGATATTAAACTCACTTCCCTTCTTCTGACTCCACTGACTAGCTGAAATAGTCATTTTTTTCTTTCTCTTTGAAGGAGTTACTTGTTCCCAGTGTGATTATGGAGACAACAGTGAGTAAAATTTCCAGTTTCATCTTTGGCTTAGAAATTTTTTTATGCTATATTAATAAAAACAGAAGACTGTATGATATATATCCTACCCTGAACACAACTGTGTGTTAAATGGCATAAAATACTCAGATACACAATATATTCTGAAATAACTTCTCATGCAGCTAAGCCACATTTGGCATAATAAGGAAAGGGAACTGAGCATGGCAATATCTTTCACGTGACCATTTTGCTTGCTTGTGCAGGTAGAGTAGCCCTCAAGGCTCTAGATATTCAACCACAAATGCTAATTGTATGAAAACAGTCAGATGGCATTCCCACTTGCACATCAGCTGGTGACCAAATTTTCTTTCTTGTACTTCACCAAGTCTCTCATTTTCTACCCACACTTAAATCCTGTGTCTATCACCCAGGTTGGCACCTTCCTTACTTCGTGCAGGTAGAGTAGCCCTCAAGGCTCTAGATATTCAACCACAAATGCTAATTGTATGAAAACAGTCAGATGGCATTCCCACTTGCACATCAGCTGGTGACCAAATTTTCTTTCTTGTACTTCACCAAGTCTCTCATTTTCTACCCACACTTAAATCCTGTGTCTATCACCCAGGTTGGCACCTTCCTTTTTTTTTTTTTTTTTTTTTTTCCCCAGCCCCTGCCTCCCTCTCTTGCCTGATGTAGAAACAACAGAGTAGCACGTCCCAGCGAGCTTTCAGTGGTAAAGGTGTTTATATGAATGCCAGAAGCTGAAAAAACAGTAAATCAAGCTCGTCTGTGAAATAAAGAAGAGGAAGGGATCATACTCACAGCAGCTGCAGAGACACAAGATCGTCAAAAAGGCCCTGGGGGATCTCTGTGATCTTGTTTCCATAGAGCACTCTGAAAGATACAGGAAGACAAAATAAATCTTAAGAAACAGACCAGTTTAGTGTCCTCCCACATCTCTGCATTATCATCTTCATTGATCTTGCGCATCATGCCCAGGATCCGTGGGTATTTCATTTAACTGCTGATCTCATTTTCTTCTCAGAGAGCACATGGTATTAAATGAGTCGTTATGATTCAGGCTTTCTCTGGTGTTGGAAAACATTTTTAATGTAGAAACTGGACATCATCCAAAATCTCTATATGAAATGTCTTTTAGTTTTTGTGGGATATTTTTCTGTCCTTTTTAGAAATATTTTAATCATTGAAAGGCACATTGTCTGATGCAAAAACCTAAAACTCTGCTCAGTGATACTGAATTTAAAAGCCAGGGACCACAAGCTCCTTGTTGATAAAATTTCATAAAAGTGAGTCTCTTAAGATACAATAATTGGCATGAAATGTGACACAAGCATCATTGGATAAAACAGTTTGGCTTCACCAGCCGCTGTTACAATTTCAGTGAGCTAATAGAAAGAAATTTAGCCTGAACTGCAAATAGACATACAACTCAGAAACTCAATTTAGAGGTAGTTCAGTTACAAAAATCAGTAAAGATTTAATAACACAAATGAGAGTCACTGCATATAATTGTTCAACCATAAATGTATATGACCTGATGTGGAATAATATGCTAGCAATGAACCAAACAGCCATGTGAGGCTGGGATGCTGGCTGAATTCCTAATTTACCCTGTCTTTCAACATATAAAAATATCAGGGAGAGCAAAACATATTGAAGAAAATAACACTTAGCATGACTGACTATTTACAATAGCCTCTGGCCTTCCCAGAGTATTGCCACTTCAGTTTACTCTTCATCAGTCTCTGGAAGTACATCAGCTCTCTGGAAGAGCTCCCAGATCAGCTCATTTCTGAGCCTAAATGAAATAACACCCCTTAGATATGAAAATAAAACCCTGAAACTTCATTTTTCATTGCTTTTGTAGTTTAAAAGGAAGTTTACTTCTACTGAACAAACTAAGGATCACCTAGCATTATATTTTCTCTAAACAAATGTAACCTAATTTCTATTGTGGAGTGAGGAGGTTGGCTTTTAACGTGGTGTTACAGTTAGTGTTTGTTGTGATTAATGAACGCCTGTATCACTGAATTTTTCTAATTATTCTAATTTCAGTTGGAGAAGACAAAAAAATTTCTACTTCTACAAAATGTCATGAAATGCATATAGTTTGTTATGTTCTACCTAAAACTAGACAGAAATGATGGCTGAACTTCGAAAAATCTAGATAGCACATTTAGATAGCAATTTCAAAATATGAGATAACATTCAAGTCACTGGAATTGCACAGGGCTCTAAAACAACATCCAAATCGCTGACCCTCTTGCTTCTTTCTGAACAGAGTAACTGATGTGATCACCTGTACCAGGAAGCAAATGCAAAACCTCTGCAAATAAAGTATTTTAAAAGGTTAAAATATTAAATTAATGCCCACAGAATCCAGAATATTTCCATTTCAGTCTCCACTCTTTCTTAACAACATTTGTTCAGCAAGTGCAGCATTTGTATGCAAAGTTCAGATGATAAGCTCTATGATGTTAGATTAACATCTTCCTTGGCTTGGTGAATTGGCAAGATCATCAATGCTGATCAGTAATTCACAACAGCATATAAGAAGAGTTCAGAAGCTAATCTTTACAAAATGGCCATGGAAGTAAGTTTTAAAAAATCCCCTCTTTAGAGTAAGGGAGTCTGTCTTCTGGCTGTAGAGATAAAAACACTTTTGGCAAGTAAAAACTTAGAGAAACACACCTAGTGCTGTTGTTAGTTATGGTCCTACTAAATGCAAATATCAAAATAAGACTCTTATTAAAGTCATTTTTCATCTACTTTTAAGAGTCAGAAGGTCATAGTGCAGTGTTCCACTGAATTTGAAACCTTGGATGTGTTTATACATCCTCTTCATTATTTTGAGCAATATAAAACTAATATAATAATAATAATATAAAACTAATTAAAATTGCTTATAAGACAAAGCTTCAAATTTTAGAAGCCATGAAAAGAAAATAAGCATTCTCAAACCTAATTGGGCTTATGTGCATGTGGCACATTAACATTCAAACAAATTTACAGCTAAACAAAAGTCAGTATGAGAGCTCAGGCACTTGTCTCTAATTCATATTCATGTTCAGCACTACACAGAGCCAAATCAGCTAATGTCATTGTCTGCCTGCCATGCCAGAGCTGAAGCCAAACCATCCTACAGAAACAAGCAAAGAGGAGGAGAGACACATAAAGCATTTAACTAATTTCTGAAGTTCCTTATTCCATTTACTTTAATAGAAAGCACAGAAACTATTGCTTTACTCAAAATTCTCATTCTTTTCTGTTTTAAGACAGGAAAGCATACTCATACCAACAAATATTGGTATGACTACATGTATATTGGTTAGGTTCTTGATCCAAGATGCTTTTGTTTGGAATGCACCAACTGCTGCACTCCTAATAGTCCCATGAACAAGTTAGCCTGTAGAAAAGACTGGCCAGGTTTGGTACCATCCCATTATTGCAGTCACCTTCCTCTGTGTCTGTCGTTCTGCCCATCCCACTGGCATGCACTGCAATGCTTCCAGAGCAGCAGCAAAAAATAACTGCAGAAGGCCATATAACAGGAAGTTCAGTCCATTCAAGAATTTAATTTAAATCTGCTTTTACCGGGAGAGAAAAATTTTAGGAGATTTACCTATGGCATTACAAACTTGCCAGTGGATTATGTGTATTCTTGTCTCTTCTCTAGGCAGGTGTATTGAATACCAGAATGCCCAGTATGAAGAACCATTCACTGTATTTTTATCTGAAGCAACATTTCCTCAGTTTCTTTGCAGGTGTGTTTCTTCCATCAGTGAGTGGCCGTGAGGGCACAGGTGCAGCTGAGCCATCCCAGGGCTATATTCCTGGTGGCCCCCAGAACCACCACCTTGCCAGTTCACAGCTACATGCTTTCAGCATGGCCACAAACTCCAAGCTGCAGAGCTCCAAAACTACCTGGCAGATTGGCTCACAACTCAGAACTGTTTTCAGGCTGCCATCAACCTTCCAAAATATGGGAAGGACAAGGCACATAAAGCTCCAGTCCCTGGCTGCACTGCAAGCATTGGAGGAGATCCCTGGAAGAATCACCCTATTCTGCTGGAGAGTAATTATGGACCTACAATAAGAAATTATACAAATATATAAAAGTCCTAATGAGGTGGTGTGCTTCTTCAGCCCAATTCTGGCATCATAATTCAATTTCACCCCAAAATGTATCTATTCCAAGATATAAATATTAAATTTCCAGTTAAACAACTAATTGCTCCTACTAAACTTCCAGTTTTGCAGATTAATCCAACTGATGTTCTACATGTTAAAAGTAAAGATTAAACAGTGAAAATAGCCACTGCATATCTTAATCTAAAAGCTTAGAGTTGCATCCAAAATACCGAGAATTTTTTTCCCTGGAAGGTGACACAGACCTTTTTGGGGTTATGAAAGCCTAGTACAGAATCTTACTCTATACCATATGGTTTCCAGCTAAGTGTTCCTTTATTTTGGCTTGGCTGAAAAATTCTTACTGAAGTGTCACATTTTGACTTTATGAAATGCCTTTTTCAGTCCTCAGAATGTTTTTAACTTTCTTTCAGACTGTGAAATTGTGAAAACAATTCTTGCTAGGAAGAATTATATTTCCCAAGCTACATAAATGGCAGAGGCTCAATAAGAATTCAAGTTTTCAAAAGAGGAGGAATTGATAGGGGTAAAACCAGCAATAAATTTATAATATCTGAAAGAAACTTAGACATGTAATTTTTTTCCCCTTCACTATTTCATATTTCTTCAGACCATGTTAGGCTAAATAAATCACAGTGAAACTATCCAAAGCAATTTGTTACCTTAAAATAAGTTTGGCAGTTATTGCAACAGACAGTGTTTTATTGCAGATTTCAAACCACCATGAATGACACCACATACATCATCACCCAGGAGATGATGGTCTAAATGGGACTGCTATGTCAAAAGCTAAGCTATCTTTTGTCTTCGTGCCCAGGCTGATCTAAGCTTTTGAATTGTTCACTAGCTTAATTCAGTATATGAACAAAAGCAAAGGAATTCTCCCTCTGCAGTGGTCTAAAATGTATTCATTCAGCTTAACACACCAAAAGCTTAGACTATTTTGTCATATCTCATAAAATGTCCCCAAAGGAGTCTGGATATGCCCTTCCAAATGCGCACTTGTGGGAAGCATACTGACCTGAAGAATAACATTTACCTTTGATAGTAGTAACAATAGCCAAATGCTGATAAAATCCTCTCACTGATATTGGACACATTTTGAGTTGATTAAGTGAAAAATTTAGTTCCAAAACTGCATGCAGCCATCTTGAAACATGAGATTATTCATAACTTAGCCCCCATGTTCTGCACTGAGTTATTATCTACTCCAACTCTAGTAAAGTGCAATTCTAACTATCTAACACAACTACAATATAGTTTAAAGAGAGCATTTCTCACACTTTTGCTTAAAATTAAGGTAACACATTCTTTCACAATGAACCAATTTTGCCACACTTCTCCATACATGGGTAGCATTTGCTCTCATGTTTGTATGGAAAAAAAGTATTGGATGGCAAGACTAATCCCTCTAAGAGAAAGCCATAGCTTCAGTACCACAGCTCACTCACATCTGTGCTAATCACCGTTTTGCTGGTTTTTTTTTAATTCAAATAATTGTAATTATTTTTTCTCATCTTGGATATTTCATATGGGCCCACATACTGCATCCCTTCCAACCCAAACCATTCCATGATTCTATGAAGTATATATAACAAAAGCAGAGATCCCTTGTTCCACACAATCATTGTATGAACAGGAAACAGAATCCCACAGAAAAATGACCATGGGGAAACCAACTTTTTTGTTTGTTTGTTTTTCTGTGTGTGGGTAATAGAGAAATCTTGATTCTTTACAACAATAAGCTTGCCTTTCTTTTGCTAAGTGCAGGGAAAACCTAAGGCAGAAATGGCTTATTTAAAGTGTTAAGATTTTGTGACCTATTTGAGTCCCGTAGGTAGATTTTGTTAGAGAAAATTTATAGATTTAAAACAAAAATTGATGACCTGCTAGCATATGGATGACTTAGCACTTTTAAAAGACTTAAGTCTGATACATTTTAGTGGAAACTGCTTCTGTAATAAGCATTCC